CCTTCCAGCTCTCTTGGAGTACCTTTACAGACTGGAAGGGATTCTAAGATCTCCCCAGAACCTTCTCTTCTCCAGGCTGAGCAACCCCAGCTCTCTCAGCCTGTCTCCATAGCAGAGGTGCTCCAGCCTCAGATCATCTTCATGGCCTTCTCTGCTCCAGCAGGTCTCCATCCCTCTATAGTGGCCCAGAGCTGCATGCAGCACTGCAGGTGGGGTCTCTCCTGAGTGGAGGTGTAGAATCACCTCCCTCAACCTGCTGCCCACACAGCTTTTTCTGCTCCAGGACATTTTTGGCTTTCTGGGTTGTCTGAACTCATTGCCTGCTCATCTTGAGTTTCTCATCTATGAACACCCCAAGTCCTTCTCCTCGGGGCTGTTCTCCACCCATTCTCTGCCTGGCATTTGTGCCTGGCATTGCCCTGATCCAGGTGCAGGACGTTGCATTTCCATTTAGTTAACATCGAGCCTCCACTGTGCTTAGCACAAGAAAATTGGTAATGAAAATTGGTGTGAACACCTGCATCTCCAGACTTATTGTTGGCTTCAGGTGTTCTTTCAGTGCTGAGTCTCATGAAAAATACCGAGAGCACTGCAAGGTGACACAGCCTCCAGGGAAGTGCTGCTGATCCTGATCATCCATGAATTTTCAAATTGAGATGATGGTAGTGCTGGTCTTCTGAGTGCTGAGCCAGTACCCTGCCAGGAATACTCAAGGCCTTATAATGAATATAAGGGAGGCCATCATTTTGCTGCTCTTCTGTGCTTTCCTGGGCCAAAACAAAGCTACACAATTATTCAGTTTTTCCTGGAGCAATCTGTGCCAAATAAACTTGTAAATGGTTTGGTTTTTTTTTTGGGGGGGGAGGGCAGAGGGTGGGAGGGGGATGTTCAGCACACACTGTATTAAAAGAATAATTTTCCCTTTAATGAGAGTCTTAGATGTTAATTGAAATCAAGGAAGGACATGTGCACAGAGGTGAAACCTTTCATTAAACAACTCACATATATACATTCAAAAAATCAGAAAACCTTCAGGTGCAGTACTTCAGTAATGGCAAAAACTTTACTAGTTTTCCCACCATAGTGACTGTCTTAATAAAGAGGGATCACCTTTACTGGTAATCTCTGCAGTATCTGGGTCCTTAATCACAGCTGCAGCAAAAATTAATTGTAATTTGAACAGTTAAATGAATTAAAACTTTTTGTTTGTTTTAACAAGATAACATATATTTTACTTTCAAGTAGAATAATTATTTCTGGAGTCATCTTTCCTTTATAAGCCTTGGATTTCTACTTACTACGGTTTGCAATAATGAACCATACCTCTCTGATATCTCTCAGGAGAACAATTCCGTATTCCATTCAAGCATCACAACTACCCTTGTCAAGGAACTGTCTTCATCTCATGGAGGAAGAGTCACAAATGGGCTAATTAGGACATCTGCACTGATTTTCCAGGTTTTTTACCAACAGGCAAAACTATCACTTTCATTTTTAGTCTACTTCAATAGTTCATGGATGGCAGGGTCTGAAAACCGTGCTCAATTCTTCATTCAGCTAGAAAATTCACTTAATGGAATTCATGGGTTTGCATGAATAAATGCCACATCAAAAACAGAGTTTGCAGAAGAGAGTTCGAAGAACTGACCCAGTTTATCACACCCCCTTAAGCCTCACTGATTCCTCCTGCCTCTCTCAGCATGGTACCTGCTCCCCTGCTGATGGAGCTGGCTGAATTTACTACGCTGGCTGAATGGACTACGAAAACCACGGACCCCAGACACTCCAGGTGCAGCCAGGGTGGGGAAGACCCCAGGGGTTGGGTCTACTGTGGCTGCAACTCTCACACAGCTCTGACAGTGAAAGGCAGACTCCCCACACACACACAGAGGCCAAAGTACCTCTCCACTGGTATTGTTTCCATTCCCCATCCTCTGTTTCCCCCAGTAACCTTGGAAAGCAGCTGCCAAGCCAGTGGGGAGAGTGATGGGGGTCAGCGAGCTCTGACTCTCCACCAGCGAGGGAACCGCGCGAGGTCCTCCTGATCATTTCACAAACCAGAGATGCAAAATTCACAACTCATTTCATTCCAGTATTAAGTATAAAGTTAGAAACTGCACAAAGCTATTGAAAAGGACTTCAATGGTGAAAGATTGTTTTTAAAATTGTTCTCCCACAGAAGGAACACTTTTCTCTCCCTGTGTTCTGCCATCCTGCAAACTGCTCTCCTCCAAGTAATATGCTCCATAATGAACTTCTCAGTCCCAACTTAGTAGCACGTTTTACATTGAAGGGGTCCTTAACTTAATATGCAACACTGAGTGCAGCCAGGGGAGCATTGCAAAACAAGGCACTAGAAATTGAAGGAAAAGGACGGCACTCATCCTTACAGTCAATACTGTCTAATCAAGGTTTGCAGTGCAAGTACATCAAGCCAAGGCTCACACTGCACTTCAAGCTGCTACATAGTTTTCACCTGTCTTTCTCAAAAAGATGTTTCCATGATAGCATAAACATAATTTATTTATTGTTTTCAAGCTGCTTGCTCATTATAGAGCCTGAATGTCTTGCAGAATCATCACAAAAATTTTCATGCCAAAGCACAGAATGTGTTTCTCTGCTCCCTGCCTGGCTCATCTGTGATGAAAAACAGATGGTGTTTGTTCATTTGTCAAATTAAACTAAACCTCCCTCCCCGCAAACAAACAAAACACTCTTAGGCGTGACTTGGTTGATCGCTGTCATTAACACATCTCTCTAGGAAGCGCTAATTGTTCAGCCACTGACTCACTGACCTCTTGCCCACAGCTCCTCATTCTTTCTGCTCTTCATTGTCCCTTAAATGCCACCTTAGCATCACTGCCTTGATTTAACCCCTCCTCGTCACCCTCCCTGTGCTTTCCATATCTTCATGCACTCTTACCAATATAACTAGGAACCTAGAAAGGGCTGGAAATATAAGAAAGTTCAACTATGTATATATATATATTTATATATATATATATATATATATATATATATATACACACACACACATTAAATATTTAAATCATTTTCAGATTAGGTGCATAGTCTAGCACTTCAAAGCTCAGAATAGTCCATGTATTGTTTTAAAAGGTAGTGACTTTAATATGTTGAAGGCTTTGTTCTTTGTTGTCAAGAAGAGAAAAAAAAAAGAAAAAAGAAAATGAAAAAAGAAATGAAAAAGAGAAAAGGGAAAGGAAGAAAGGGTAAAATAAAAAAAAACTAACAGCCCACCAACTTTCCTTGCTTTGTTCACAGCTGCCTAAGTTAATATTTTTCTGCTCCTTCTGTGATCATCAACAGGAAAATTGAGGGGGAAAAATCTAATGAGCAAACTTTAGATTTTAAATTAATGCAATCTTCCTGGGAAAGAACACTTTAAAACAAAAAAAAAAGACAAAACAACCATAAAAGCTTGCAGGTATTGTGCATAAGAAGTACTTGAAGAAAAACAATTTACCTTAATGGCTGGACATGCAGTTGCATTTATTCTATACGATTAAGCATAAGCCCATGAATAAACACTTTACTGAATTTTACCCACTAAGTGAAATTCTTTAAAAATCCTGAGCACTCTTCCACTAATGTCCATGAAGCATTCAAATAAAACTTCCTATTTCCATCATTTTCTAAGTATCATACAGATAATAGTATATTGTCCAGTCAGTACTTTCTTAAACTGAACTGCATCTCTTTTAATTTAAAGAGTTAATTTCTAGTAATGCACTACTTCAAGAAAAGTCAATAAAAATATTTTGTCAGCAATCACATGAGTTAATGCAGGTATATCTGAAGGCCTTGTAATACTTTCCTTTTATATGATCCATGCCCTTCACTAGGAAAAAATGTCTGTGGTCAAGTTTAATCATAGGTGCAGGTAGCTGGGTGAGGAGGGAGGGAAGGAATTCTCCATTCTCCAATTCTCTGACACCACCCAAGCCCCTCAGGACATCAGCTGGGGTAGATGGCAGGAAGGTACCTGCTCCACCTTCCTGACATCTACCCGATGGCTTCAAAAGGAGAAGTTGACATATTCATTTAAAAGCAAACAAATAGTAATAAACCCCCCCCCCCACAAATCACAGAACTAGTCAGTACACAACAGCATTTTCTAGGACACAATCAAGATGTGATTCACCTGACAGAAGGCAGATATTTGCATCTAATCATTGGCACTGGCTGGCTGAGTGATCAGGGAGAGGAAAAGAAGGAGGAGGAAGATAAAGATGACAAGAAAAGCATTTCTGTTCTGTAGTTCTTATAAAATTCAAAACTAGGGTCGGCCAGCTCAACAGCACTTTCAAGGTGTCACTTTCCCCTGTCGACTGCAAAAATCATGTTAAGGAGGCACAACCAGAAGAGGGTCTCTCAATTTAGATATAGTGAAATTAATTGATGCTCTACTTTGCTTTTTTCATTGTGATCAATGTGGCACAAATGTTCCTTTGACTCTTCCCTCTGCCTCCCTACTTCTAAACACATTTGTACAAAAAGCAGTGCTGACACAGGCCGAGTTACCTGTGACATACATTAAAAGCAAGACCTGCTGCAAACACAAGAGAAACTTACAGATGAAGAGCTGTCATTTCAAACTGAACCTGGTTATGAATGAACTTTGCAAAAAACAAACAAATCACACAAAAAACCCACACTGAAGAATTTGCAGCCAAGCAGGATGGTGTATTTAAAGAT